GATTTACCTTTACAAGTTGATCTCCATGTTCTTTGAATCCCTATTCATTTAATACACCCTTAATGCACTTATCAACTGCTCTGAAAAATGGTAAGAATAACGGATCTGGTGAGTACATATATCCCCTATCACGATACTGCAAGTAAGATGGCATGAATTCCTTAATTTTTGTATTAATAGCTTGCAGCACTTTGATCTCTAGTGAAAGTAATTCCCTTTTCTTAGAGTTACATTTTCTTATATCTTTGTACTGATTTTGAAGCATACTGGCCAGTGTAGCTCGTCCAAAACGAAAATATACATCATCTTTGTCTGATTCTATCACTAAGCTGGTGCTTGACTCACTATCATCAGAGAATTTCCTGAAAAATACATGTACTTCCCGCAGTAATATCTCATATATTGATGATGAAAAAACAATCATGAATTTATCCCGTTCAGTAATATTACTCTCTAACTCTGAGTCCCTTTCTGCACAAAAAGCCAGCCAAATATGACGAACATCCTCCATTTCCTTAGTTGGAGGTGAGAAGATACATTGAATCGTAACATCATTTGGCAAGAGCAAAATACTACAATATCTATGCCATTGCAATTGAAAAGATATGTACTTATCTTTTCCAGTACCACGTGATTCATAGAGAAGAGCAAATGTATTTTGGTGATATTGTATCAAAGCTGTCAGTGCCTTTTGATTGACTACTAACTTGTCAAATATTACTTTTTCCTGGTCCTTAAAAATGCTCTTCAATTCTAGAAAAACTTGAGTACTTCTGATATGTTTTATAACCTGCTGTCGTTCTTTTTTGTTGAGAGCCTTACGTCTCTTTGTGCTACTGACAGTCACTACTTCAGATGACTCTCCAGACCTTCCTCTCTTCCTAGATTTTGCTTTTGGGCATTTGGGTGTATCGCAAGTTAAAAGACTCGCTTCGTTTGGGAGGTCATCGTCCGGATTTTGCGAAAGCTGCTCTTCTTGTTCCTCAAACATGCCGTCTCATGCTTTTAGGTGTGGCATAGTTAATTATTTGACACGCCTACAAAGCTAAAATTTTCATTCCTGAACTTCCTGTTCCTCGTTCTTGGTGGCGGCGGGTTTTGTCAAAGAAAGTGCTAATCCATCATTGATGCAAGTGTCAGTTACGTCTACGCGCACATATCTCCAGCACTAATGGGCAGTTAGACACTCTCCCTCCCCCTTATTTACTCTTAATACTACTAACACATAAAGTAATACAACTAAATAACAGTAAAGAACACTATGCTACACTATTAAGGTAAGTTATTCTAATAATAAGAACACAATACACATTAACATCCTTTAAATACAATTAGATACTACTAACACATCAAGCATTACAACTGAATAACAGTAAAGGACACTATGCTACGCTATTAAGGTAAGTTATACTAATAATAAGTACACAATACACATTACCATTTCTTGTATGCAATTAGATATTCCTAACAAATCAAGCAATATAACTGAATAACAGTAAAGGACACTATGCTACACTATAAGGTAAGTTACACTAATAATAAGTTCACAATACACATTACCATTTCTTGTATACAATTAGATACTCCTAACACATGAAGATATAGAACTGAATAACAGTAAAGGACACTATGCTACACTACTGAGGTAGTGTAGACACAAACTCTTACCACAACAAGTGATGTACTGTGCTACAAGGAATTAAGACAAATTATCTAACGTATTCTCAAGTCTTTTATGATGTTGAGGGATCATTCATAACATTCTTTACCTGCAAATATCTTGACAATAATTATCATGATAAATATAATCTTTTCAAAATGAGTTTAAGAAACTGTTTTAAATGTTTTGTCTTTGCTTTTCTAGGTCTGTGGAACTATGTCCTTACAAGTAGAAATAGAAGAAAAACATAGTCTGTTTTGTAAGCGCTCCATAGTCTACCTTTGTTCTCAGAGGCTAAGAGGGAACGCACACCATAACTGGAATGGTAACTGGCTCTTCCTTAGTTGGCTTGATGGCTAGAGGAAAGAGAGAACGAGTAACACACTACTGACAACCTAAATCTCAAACGCTCAATATGCTATGCACATTTTTATCGAGTGCCTACAAAATAGAACGCTCCAGCCACTCTAACAATCACACTTACTGTAAAGCTTACCTTTGTCTTTATCCTAAACAATGATGGAACAAGAGTTTTAAGGCCCCCATACACTAGGCAACATGTTGCTTGCAACACTGTTGCAAGCAACATGTTGCATAGTGTATAACGGGTTTCCACATGTTGAGCAACACTTTGCAACATGTTGCCAGGAATAGAAGGGCTTTCTATTCAGAGCAACATGTTGCTTCACCACATCAAAGGTTGTCATGGAGGCGGATCGGTATGCAAAGATGGCTGCCACTCAGCCTGCTATTAGTTCTAGTGCTAAAGGTGTCAATTGGTCTACAGAGCTAGTA